TTTACTAATCCAATCCTCTTGCAGGAATGATAAAGCAATTAATTCGCGAGCTGAGCTATTCTTGTTGACAATTCAAATAGTAGTTGTAAATGGACTTGTCCTTGGCCTGTAAAGTCTATTGGCTAGCTGAACTAACAAGAACCAACCATTGTTTTTCATATGCTAGAAATCTGAGTGTTTATTGGCATATTTGAGAATTCGAATTTTGTTTATTTTTTGTGTGACTTTAATACATCTTTAACTGTGAGTGAGAACTCTTAAGTTCTCGTGTTAGATTTATGTGTACTTTCAACTTCTTTTCATCTTTAAGTGGGAAAGTTTGTTTTTGAATTTCGCGCAAAGCTACACGAGGGCTATCTGCGCTACCCGTCCCTAATTTAGCAGTGTAAGACTAGAGGGAAGGCAGCTAGTCATCACCACCCTCCGCCAACTCTTGGGCTACTCTTTTACTAACGAATAGTGCGATTGACCGTCACATTATAACGTCCCCACGGCTGAAAGGGCGAGCATGTTTGGGGTGACGGGGATTCGAACCCGCAGACTGCGAGTCGAGCGTCCTAACCACCTGGCCATGCCGGGCCAAGTGGGAAGGAGCTCTTCAAGTTCTTGCATTAGAGTTCTACATAACATATTTTCTTATGTTCTACAAACTTATAACTCTTAAAGTTATCTTCAAATGTTTAGGTGTTCACCTTCCATGAGCGAAGTCTTTAACTTTCATTTTCGTGAGTTAAATTGTGAGTAAGTTATCGCTTTCATTTTTGTTGTTAGATTCACTATAAGCAAACGAGTTTTAGAGTTTCCTTAACGTGACATGTGAAGCGCTTTTAGAGTAGCATTGGTTCTGAAATTATTTGAACTGTTTGCACAGTAAAGTTGTTTTAGGTAGAGCTCAGAGTTCACACAGTGATTTAAACTTTGCTAGACAGTAACTTTTGCAACATAACTTGAGATTTTTTCTTTTAGTATTTGCTATTACTCGAGTTGAATTTACACGAGGAAGAACACGCACTAATAAGAGCCTTCTTTATGATTAAAGTATTTAATGTAGCTCTTTTGAGTCTTACACTTTTCACTCAAAGGCACACACAGGGCACTTGCCTATTGCTAATTGTATTGTAATGTATTTTTCATTATTATTTTGATTAAATATTGTTTTCTGTGTGTGTCAGACTTGTGTCTTATTTCTTTCTTTATGACTTGTCTGTCACATTACCTTGTGAAATGCATATCAAAGCTCGAGAGCCTAGAACCTCCTGTTTTATCTTTGCTCGAAATTCATAACAAACCAACATGATTACAGAAATATAACTACCAGGCTACATCCCAATATTGTCTCAAACAATCTTTCAATTTCTAGGGCATCTCACAAAGCCAGTGAGTAAATACTTAATTTAGCCAGACATTAAATAACATGTGTTGAAATGTCACTCTAGTACAGTGTAATAAAGCAGTGAAAAATCATATTATTCAACTCGCTACAAGCAACTGTCTAAATTAGTGCTCCAGCAACCATTTTCATTCCAAACAGAAAGTGAATGAGATTAGGGAAATTAATACTATCCAACAAAATAAATATTGTATATATATATATACTGTGTTCACTTTCAGCATGCAAAACCTGGAAAGCATCCAGCAATACATAAGGTTTTTCACACAAACACTGCACCTGCACCAGAATCAACTGCAGATGAACCAACCATCCCCATCCTAAAGATGCAAGTAGAGCACAGTTACCATGTTCAAATGAGTTCACGAACTCTAAAAAGAATACTGAATCAAGCAGAGGACAAATTTGATCATTTGAAGAAAAATTAAATTTACACAACAAAGAACAAGGAGATTACGTAAGCAGGTTATTTCTCTCAAAACAGTTGTCAAATCTCTGAAGAACAAACAACTGACATCTGATGATGGGACTGAAATGCTGGAAAGATATTTTCTGAAGTTCTACTGGCAGTATTGAAGTGACTACTCAACCAGAAGAATAGCTGGGCAACTCATAAGTATTATCCAGCCATGTTGAGATTATTCGCTATTACACCACATTTCTTTTTAACTAGGATCTACAACTACGTCCATCAGACATTCAGTTTGGCATTTACTCACCCATCAATCATCAGACATTGGTACAGAGGGGTGAACAGTGAACAAGGATTTAACAAAAAAGCATTCTATGCATTGTGTCACAGAGTACTGGAGGCCAAATCCAAAGGCCAGGATGTTGTATGTGTCCTAATGAGAGAAGAAATTGGCCATAAAGGAGCATGTGGAATGGGACATAAAACGATTTCTTGGTTACATCGAAATAAGGGCAAATATAGAAGATGGTTCCACTCCAACAGCTCTTGTTTTTATGGTGGTAGCATTGAACAGTAATTGAAGAGTTCCATGTGCATATTTCATTTTGAAGGGTATGTTAACCACGGAACGTGCCAACCTGATAAAGCAATGCCTCATGAAGTTGCATGATGTTGAAGTCAAGACTGTGTCTCTGATATGTGATGGACCATCTTGTCACTTTACAATGATGGAGGAGTTGGGGTTCACTGAAAGCACCGGATATCATTCCACATTTTCAACATTCAGTATACCAGTTCACCAAGGTCTACATATTACTTGATGTATGCCATATGCTAATACTCACTAGAAACACCCTTGCCAGTGGTGGCATACTAAAAGATAACAACAATGACACCATCAGGTGGTCATTATTCAAGGAGTTTTACAAGTTACAAAAGAGTGAGGGACTGCAATTGAGAAACAAATTGAAGTCAGCAAATATAATGTGGTACAAACAGGAATTGAGGGTAAATCTTTCTGCTCAAACTCTGAGCTATACTGTAGCAGATGTTATCTAATTCTGTGCCAATGATTTGAAACTGGAACAGTTTCAATGGTCATCTGCAACAGTTAGGTTTATTCGCATTTTTGATATGCTCTTTGACATCCTAAACTCAAGAAATCTAATTGCAAGAGGTTACAAGATGCCAATGAGACCCTCCAATGCAGAAATTTGGGCTCCTTTTCTAGATGTTGCTTATGCCTACATATCCCAGCTGAAGGACTTAACCATAGAGTGTATTATGAGCAGCAAACGAAAGAACCCATTCATCGATTTCATGACTGAATCCTTAGTATAACTACCCTGTACAATGAGTTGGTAGGGACATCAAAGCTACATTGAAGTATCTACTAACAAACAAGATGAGCTAGGATCAACATCCCAACAGTTTGCTAGTTTGTTGCATTCCTTCGCGAGCGAAGACGACGTCTCCTAGGGTGAATGTGTTCTCATGTGACTGAACAGCCCAATTCGAGATTTACATTGTTTGGAACACCTTTGGCAGATAGTGCTCAGAGGAAGACATTGTTGCAAAGAGGGATTGGCTCTTTTCTTATTCCTGTTCTGTCTCTTCTGCTTCTCGTTTTCCTGTCGATCAGTTTCGAATGTTTCTGTCACATGATGGATTAGATGACGCCAACGGGAACAGTCAGATGCATCCTTCTCCCATGTGTTGAGGTTGATGGCTACGTTTTCGGGGTTGGATTTTAGGTTATCCTTCCATTTTTTTACTTGTCCACCACGAAAACGAGTGCCGTGACGAAGTTCTGAGAAGAGCACTTGACGAGGAAGGCAATGTTCCTGCTTAGGAGATAAGTGACCAGCACAACGAAGTTGATCTTTTATCAGCCGGACTTCAGTGCCTGTGGAATCGGCCTCTTCGAAGACGCTGATGCTGGTGGTAATTGTGCAGCGCCGGATAACACCAGTATACTCTATGTCACAAGAGATTGTACTTTGATACACAACACTGAGATAGGTACATATGACGTGTGAAAAGCAAAGTGGTATGATTTGTAGATATCTGCAACAGAAGAAGAAGATGACCATGAAGTAGCAGAAACTTCTAATTTCAATCCTCTCTCAAGTTTTAAGGAATCTTTGATTGGATATGTTGCAGGTTATGTCATTACTATGGCCCAAAGTCCTATTTGCACAGAAGCTTTGTATGCTGAAAAAGAAACTCGCATGAAACCTATGCCAAAGTTATCCCTTCTGAACTGAAAAGATAGGGGTGGATTGACAAGAGCTTCCTACAGTGTCATCAAGGTATGTGAGGAGTCTGAGAAATGTTTTCAACAGATATTGGAGATGAAGGATAGCAAAGCACCACAAGCTTCAAATGTGGTACCAACGATTTCCACAGTAGTCCTACACCAACTGCCATGCGTTACAGGCTTCAACTCTTTGTCAGATCATATGTTTGATACGACACCAGAGTATAACCATGCATTCAAGGTCATAAAATGTGTGTTATCCTGTTACTGCAAAATATCGATAGAATGTACACAGAGAAAATTACTGGTGACAGGGGTACGGACGCAGTTTTCAAAGTTAGTATATTGTTCAAACACCAGTGAAAATGAAAACAACACTAGATAATATTTTATTATTTATCTATAATAATCATTAATTCCTATGTTTGTAAAGGTTTTGTTTCTGAACATTTTTTAAACGTGTACGTGTATTGTTGCGAATATCATATCGTGTGAATGTGTTCAATATTCATTTATTGTCATGCTAGTTAATGACATTTAGAGTAATGGCTTCTCTCATGCAAATATTTAAGAATATCAGTATCTGGTAATTTATGCAAATTATGATGATGATGATGCATATAATTATCCTTAGTAATCCAATTATTTTCATCCATCATTCTTCAATAGTTTACCACTAGGTCTGGACTGCTAGTTATAATATTAATACCGAGACAAGAGCAATAGGCAATTTCGGTTTTATAACTCTGTAAAGTGTGATCGGATTTGTATCAAATTTCATGGGCACATTAAAATTCAGACTTCTCATAACACAACAAAAAATGAGCTGGATCTGAGAAGGATTTTCTGAGTTTTCGAAAGTGAAATTTGACCTTATCCAATATAAACTCATTTAATCTCGAAAAAGAGCATCGGGGCGAAGTTATGCAATATATCTGATTGTTCTGGGTCAATTCTTGTTTACAGTACGTAGATTAGCTGAAATGAAAAAAAGAAGAAAAAAAGCAAGTAGACTTTGCCCCTTTCTCAGTTGAAGATCTAGGTCTAACACACAAAACTGGTCGAACTTGAACCTAAAGATAAAGTGCATATATTTAGTGTTGCTGAAATGTTACAGTTTAATTTTTTACTTAAGGTTCATCCTTTTCGCATTGTTTCAAAAGTAAGTTAACTATTTTGTTTATTTATGCGTATTATGCTTAGATTGATTTAAAAGTTAAAACTTAACTAGTAGTACGCATAAGACTTTAAGTTAAGTTTAAAGTTTAATTGAAATGGGAACCTCGCAACTGGAATATTCGAAAGTAAAACAAAAGACAAGTAGAGATTTTCAGTTCAAAAGTACAATGAATTAACTGTTTATACTTTAGTGTATATTATAAAATTATGTGAAATAAAATTTCTTTACCAATGTGTATTCTACTTTCATGGAGTTTCACTTTCAGTATATGTATATAGAGACAAGCTGGTTACAGAGTGGTTCTTTTAGTTTTATGTTGTAATAATTGTATAATAACAGCTCATTGAAACAGTTACTAGTTTGAAGAAAGCGCTGTTAATGTTATTGATGTTGCTTATCTCCTTTATTAGAGTTGACAGTTTCAAGTATTACAGCTGTAAAACATTCAGTGGCAATTGTGTATGAAATTGAAACATAATATTACATCAAATATTTCAGTTTCAGCAGGTTGAGGTGCTTATATTTTGGCACAGCTTCAGTATCAACAAGAACAGGTACTTGTATGAGTGACAATGCTGTACAGTGTTAACTCAAGTGAAGCAGAGATAGGCAACGTTATTAACAGTGCCTCCTTCACAGTAGAAATCATTCTAATAAGGTTTTGTTACAATCAATACAGTAAGGCTGAATCATTCTGGAACCAGCTTTTTTTTATCTAAAAATAAAGAAAGCAGAATACACTTTGGTAAAGAAATCTTATATTACTTCACATAAATTTATAACATACAGTAAAATCATTAATCTTTTGAACTGAAAATATTTTTTTTTCACCTTTTTTGTTTGTTTGTTTAATCCCTAATGCCTACTTTAGACTTCCAAATCCTGATTGTAAGGTTTTGAATTCTGATTTACAATTGCTAGGCTCTAACTTCCAATGGTTTATTGATTATTCTAATCTTCAGGACATATGTGTTATGGCTTATTTATATTTACTTTCATTATTAGTGCAAAAAAACCATACTATATATACACATGTATGTGTGTATATACACAACTGTTTTGTAAATAAAGTTAGTCATAATCATGATTTCAAAAGGCATGTAAAGGTGATACTTCAGTTTCCTAAGGTACAAATAAATGAGAATAGTGTGTTGAGTACTATTGCATCCCCCTAAATTGCCACCTTATGTGTATAAAACATATTTAAAAGGTGCAAAAACAGCCTTGGATGCCAGAAAATGCACTATTTCCAGTAAAAATTACAAAACATTTCTAAGGGGGCATTCTCCAGGACCCTCCTATAACTTATAAGGCTGTACTATTAATATCCTTTTTCCTCCATAAGTAGCATCTCCTTTATAGATTTTGGCCTATGCTAACACACCCCATTATAGATTTTGGCTTATGCTAACACACCCCATTATAGATTTTTTTCCTCCACTACTCATTTCTAATATGTACTTTTCTGATGCAGTATTGTGTTAACACATGTCAAAAAAGTAAGTATATATAATTTACATTTATTATGGAAAAATGAATATCTTTTTATATGTTGACTACAAACATGTCATTAACAGATATTTCATTAGAGTAACTACTATAAAATACTTATCATTGTTTAAAGAATCACTAAATCATGATGCTTCAAATCTGTGTATGCAAATAAAATGTACATTACACAAACATATAATAATTTCTAAATGATAGATGATGAACAGAGCTTTCCAAACATATATATGACATATTAAGTTTTCCAGCAAACCAAGGAAATAAAC